ACATCAAATATAAATAAAATTTCAAATTTTCAATATTTAGCCCACCCCTTGTTAACTTATGTGAACTTATATTTTTGCACATATTTATTTAATTGTTAAAACAACTTCTATCCAATTATAAATTAAATTTAATATATATAATTAAAGACAATAATTAGATTTAAAATATTTACCATATATATATAATTCTGAAAATTTTAAGAAGTATATTAGTATATTTATCAATTAGTGGTTTTTAAGTAAAGGTCTATATGTCTGTATTGGCTGTATGGTTGCTTAATCAAGCCAGGAATTGTTCAAGTTTTAGTTGAAAGCCGCGGGAAGGAATGATTGGAATTTAATCATCCTTTTCTTTACACCTCAGAATGAGCTGTTCGAGGTTGTTGGTTCCTGTAACGGTTGGATTTGTTTATATATTAATCATCCTTTTCCTTGTACCAAGATCATGCTTTGTAACCTTGCTCTTAGAGTGCATAAGATCATCTCTGAATCCACTCTTTCTCGTCCAGATCTGCATCATGTGTCATTGGGGTTGGGCTATGATTCTGTAAATAACGATTATAAGGTAGTTAGGGTAGTTTCTTCGTATTCCCATATGGAAGGGAAATTTGTTTCTAGCATGCAAGCTCAAGTGTACACGTTAGGAATGAATTCTTGGAGAGAAGTGGCAATGTCACTAGGTGTTAACTTTAGGGCTATTCCTTAGTTGGGAATAGTTGATGAAGTCTTGGAACGATTTATACGATTAATGTTCATCTATTTGTATACAAATCATAGCATCAATATAAAAGGAAAACAATCTGTACAATAAAGTGTAACATCCTATGATTAAGGGAATTAAAGAAATTAGATTAGGAAATTATATCACTAAGTCAAGGAGCATATCTGTCATGATCGCCAATATCATTCATTATGATACCTATTCACTAAGTCAAAGATCATATCTATTATGATCCTCATTATCCTTCATTATGATATCTGTCATGATTCTGTATTATCCTTCATCACTCCCCCTCAAGTTGGAGTATGAAGATTAGTAATGCCCAACTTGGCCATTAAATCATGGAAACGATTTTGTCCAAAAGCCTTGGTAAAATGTTTGCCGACAGAAATTGGGATGAGATGGACCGTGGAGCAAGGGTTTTGGACTAGATGTGTTGTTTGATAAAATAACAGTCGATCTCGATGTGCTTGGTACGCTCATGAAAGATCAGATTCACGGCAATATGAAGTGCAACTTGATTGTCACAAAATAATGAAGCTAGTGATGGGCGTGAAATTCGAAGGTCAGCTAATAATCTAAGAAGCCATGCAATCTCACTTGCCACCATTGTCATGGGCGTATACTCTGTTTCTGCGAGGGAACGATAAACAATTGATTGTTTCTTGGATCACCATGAGATAGGAGACGAACAAACCGTAGCTTGGAGATACTTAAGAACACATAGGGTTGCATTGAAATGAGGCTGACATACGAAATGCATAAACTGACTTAGAACATGAACAGTAAAACTAATATCAGCTCTTGTGATGGTGAGATATAATAATCTTCCAATTAACCTTTTGTATTGTCCCATAACTGAACAAAGTGGTCCTTCATCAAGATCGAGCTTGACCTGTTGGTCCATAAGTGACGATGCAGGTTTGCAACTAGTGAGGCTGCTATATGCCAATATACCAAGCACATATTTTCGTTGGCTCAAGACAATGCTAGATGGAGAATGTACCACCTTAATGCCTAAAAGATATTTCAACTTGTCTAAATCTTTAATGCAAAATTCACGATCCAAGTAAGTCTTTTGTTGGGAAATCTTGAGTGCATCAGTTCCTATTATTATAGCATCATCAACACAGATTAATACTGCAACAAATGACTCCTTGGCAGAGTACGTGAATAAAGAATAATCAACATGCGATTGAACAAATCCAATGGCTAGTAAGTCATTAGTGAACTTTTGATACCAATTTTGTGACACTTGACGAAGTCCATAAAGAGATTTCTTGAGTCCATAAAGAGATTTTGCTTTGTTCTTGGATTGGAGAGCATTTAAGAAATTACACTTCTAAGTGAAGTAATTATTCTCAATTTCACTTAATAAATGTGTAACAAATATTAGGCCAGAATGATCAGAGAGATGTAGGTTATAAGGTGATTTGGTATCAACCAAGGTGCTATTTAGTGTAATCGCACTTACGGTGGATACCAAATTCTCGTTACCCTTACCCCTTCCTTACTCTTATTGGCCATTAAAGAATTTTAGCTTAAGTAGTCTACAACCTTGCTCTGATACCATAAAGAATTTGAATACTCTTTTAGAATGATTTAATCGATTAATATTCATTCGTCTATATACAAGTTATAGCATCAATATAAAAGGAAAATAATCTATACAATAAAGTATAATGTTTAAATAAAAGTTGTAACGTCCTATGATTAAGGGAATTAAGGAAATCAGATCAAGAAATTATATCACTAAGTCAAGGAGCATATCTGTCATGATGCCCATTATACTTCATTATGATATCTATTCACTAAGTCAAGAAGCATATCTGTTTATGATCCCCATTATCCTTCATTATGATATCTGTCTTGATTCTCTATTATCTTTCATTAGGTGAGAAGAATAGAAACGCAATACAAGTAGAACTAGTTAGTTTTGATGTCAGCACCGAGGTGTTCAAGTCAATTCCAGTGCCAGTTTTTGCTTTAAGAGAAATATGGCCTATGTGGATTGATGTTTATAAGAATTCGCTTTGTGTGGTTAAGCCCGGGAAAGGAGCATGTCATGAGATATGGGTGACGGAGGAATATGGTGTTCAAGAGTCATGGACTGGACTACATTCTATTCAACTCTCTTTAAGTCACCCGCTCTGGTTTTTAGGATTGGGGGTGAATGGGAAGTTTGTTTTGGAAAATCTTACACGGCCAACTGTGTATGATCCTAATAATGAAGAAATTAAGAATGTTGAATTCGATTATCCAGAGGTAAACTGGTTTACTATTGTCACTTACATAGAAAGTCTGGTCTTTCTCTAGGAAGGAAAAGATAGTGATGATTATGGGAGCTAGAATTTCAAAACCTTTTGATGTCGTTTTCTTTGTCTGATTTATTAATCACTTCTCTGTTAACTTCAGCATTCGGGTTGAGTAGGAGTATTCTTCAACCAAATTTTTAAATGAGCTAGCATTCTTCCCATCTCTATTTCCTATTGATATATACTCTTCTAATAACTTTTATCTGAAGGAACTTACCTGCTAGATGATGCGTATAATCAGAAGTCTACATAGAAGTTTTTAAGGTCAAATTCATGTATAAAAAGCATGAGCTCATTACCAAAGCTAGAATCAACCATTCACTATGAATTATTCAATAACTTTCTAGAATAGTTCCTCAACATTAAAAGTATTTCAATCCAAACAAAGTTTATTAAATCCAATGTATCTAAAGAACTAGCAAATGATATAATGAACTTTACCAGGTTACACAGGTTAATTTCAAAATTTTCCTTGCAGGCTTGGAAGAGTAGGAGCATTGCCATCTTCAGAGAACAGAGGTTCACTTGAAATCTCAGACCTCAGCTGTATGATGTTGGACAACTGCTAAATCAAGCCAAGCATTGTTATCTTCTAGTTGATGGCAGCTGAAATGATTAGAATAAATCCTTTAACTTGTTAGCTTATTGGAATTGAAAATCAAGAGGATAATCAAGAGGAAAATCAAGAGGATTTATCAAGAGGATAAATCCTTTTGCTCATGTATGTATCTAAGTTTCAGTTTGATTCAGTCTTCCATCCTGGGCTTCTCCTAGTGATATACATCAGTCACTCATTCATTCGCCCTATCCAGTGAATTCACCTTCATCCTGGCTTAAAAAGTGTGATATAGAAAAGGGGAAACAAATATGACTGCCAGCTTCATGTTTAACATCCTTTGGAATTGAGAAAATACTCAGAATTTTCCTTACACAATACTTGCACGGCAAGGGATGTCAGCCTAAGCACAAAGCAATTTATTCCAGACTCTAGAACCTCTTCAACTGCTGCTCGCGAATTTTTAACAATCACAAGTTCAAGAAAACCACTAGAGACGTGTCACAGGTTGAAAAGGGATGACAGTAAAACTCAACCACCTGAGACATGTCATCCTGACCAATGACTCTCTCCTTGATTCTGCAGTATTTTTTTTCACCTCAACCCCCCTGCCCAAGCTCTTGAAGATCCGGTATATACCCACATGATCTCAACAGTTTTGTCAATCCCCTCAAGGCTCCATATATTTCCTTTGTTTCAGGATGCCTCTCATCTAGGGAATAAAACTCAACCACACCATCATTAACCTCAATCAAGCTACATCCTGGCAATTTTTTGTGCCCAGTATCTCGCATTGCAACTTTTAATCTTGCCACATCTTTCCATCTACCAAGATCCCCATATATGTTAGCAAGCATGACAAAATTTGCAGGGTTTGTTGGCTCAAGTTTAATGAGGTGTTCAAGAGCAAGCTCAGCAAATTCAACATTTTTATAAACCCGACATGCTCCAAGTAAGGCAGCCCAAATAACAGCATCTGCTTCCATAGGCATCTTCTTCACAAAATCCAGAGCCTGTGGTAAAAGTCCAGCTCGGGCTAGCAGATCAACCATACAACCATAATGCTCAATCTGAGGCTGAATAGAATAATCATCTACCATTGATTGGAAATATGAAATGCCATCTTCAACTAAACCCATATGTGTACAAGCACACAAAACACCAATGAAGGTAATTCCATCTGGATTCATTCCACCATTCTTCATTTGACAAAATAAATCTAAAGCATCACCTCCATGCCCATGCATTGCTAAGCCCCCAATTATTGTGTTCCAACTTATCAAATCCTTCTTATCCATGCTCTTGAAAATATCAACTGCATTTTTTATCATCCCACACTTTGCATATAAATCAATTAAAGCATTCCCAACATAAACATTTCCTTTATATCCATTATTCTCTGCATATACATGGACCCATTTCCCCAAATCCAAAGCTCCTAACTTCGCACATGCAGACAACACAGTCACAAGCGTAGCATCATTAGGAAGAACATTACCATCAATTAGCATCCTCTTGAATACATCCAAAACCTCCAAGAAACACTCATTTCTTGCATACCCTCCAATTAATCCATTCCATGAAAAAACATTCCGCTCAGGCATCTCTTCAAAAAACCTCCCACAAGCCTCAACATCCCTATTAATCGCGTAACCATGCAATATTGTATTCCATGCCATTACATCCTTTTTCAGCATCTGATCAAAAAGATTCCTTGCTTCCACCATGTCCCCCATCTCAATATAACCCGAAACCATAGTATTCCACAACACAATATCACGCTCCGGCGCCAGCTCAAAAAGAAACCGTGCCTTGACTAAATCATGACTTAGAATAAACCCGTTAATCATTGAAGTCCAAGCGACAACATTCCGGTCAACCATTTCACTGAACACTCTATAAGCTGCTGCAATCATTCTCCAACCTGAATACATCTCGATTAACGTAGTTCCAACAAAAGGGTTTCCTCTAAAACCACTTTTTATCACAACGCAATGCACTTCCGCACCTTCTCTCAATGCATTACACTTGAAACAACATTTAAGAACAATAGGAAAAGTAAAGCCATTGGGTAGTGAAAAACCCATGCTTTTCATTTGACTGAACAAGAATATAACTTTTTCATAAAACCCATTCTGCGCATACCCTTTAATCAATGAATTCCATAGGGCTGTGTTTCGTTCAGGAATTTTATCAAACATTGTCTGGGCAATGCCCATTTGCTTCAGCTGAGAACATGCGGTCACAAATCTCGGAGTTATGTATTGGTTTTGGTCAAAGCCATGAGTCAAAATTTTGGTTTGGATTTGGAAGAGATGTTTTAAGGTCTTACATGATTGTAAGAGAGAAATGAACTTCTCTTCAAGAAGCCTGTGAGGCTGTTTTGGAGCTAAAGTTGGAGCAATTTTAGTTATTCTGGAAGAAGGATACTGTCAATTTCAACAGAAAAATGTAAACTGTGGCCTTTGCATCTATGGGTTTAGTTTTCTTTTTCGTATTAATCTATTCAGGAACGGGCCAAATGTCATGGCCCATGGATAAACTGTGAGTCTATTGCTTAGTTGCAAGGCAAACTAACGAGAACTAGGATAAATTTCTGAGGTTTGGGGCAGTAGCTAGCATAGCAGCACAAGCATTAATGCCTCGTTTTATCAACATATGAATTTCTCAGCTTCAAAGAACTCGCAAGTCTCAAAAGGTTAATTAGCAACTTCCAAAAGCTTATGCTACTTTAGCGTTGAGGCCTGCCAAATGTCAATTGACTGAAAGGGTTAAAGCCCCCTGTTCTGTTTTTAGAACACTTCCCATTTGGTTGGACACATTCCAGTTGGGAAAAGATCAATTAATTTGGCTAAACTTGACTAAATTGAATGAAATAACACCAAGTTCAGTAACTTCTTGGTAGCCCATCATGAGGCTCATGCCTAGATTGAACATGAAATTCCATGAAGATTGCTAAACTTTTACAAATCTTTATTACATTCACCTGTTGTTACAGCCTCCAACTGCTTTATGGTCTATAGTACAGATGGATGACATTTGAGGCAAACCGTATCAAATTTTCAAATAATAAAATTTGCATAAAAAATTAAAAGAATTTCCAATAGTTAGCAAATTGCAATTTGCTCAATGTCGCCTTCTTTCCTTTTTTAGTGCAATTAAAGCTCCTCCAACTAAGTTATCCCACGGCCTTTCAGAACCCTTGATCAGAAAGATGAAAGAACATTTAGCAACATAGTACTCAAGGGCAGGTATGGATAAGTTTAGGCTTAACCTAATCCAGATATCAGATTAGAAGTTGTCTTTCAGCCATTTAAGAGCAACATTTGCAACAGACCTGCAAATATCACATTTTTAAGGTCGAAAAACATAAAACTAATTAACAAAGAAAATAGATGCAATGAATGGTGAGAAGTTTCGTCTCAGGAAAAGAAAACACAATTGAAATGAAAGAACACAAGGAAATATGAGAGAAAGCAGAATGAGATATATTGTGCAGATGATAAATCAGAATGAAGAAAAGAGTCAGTACATCTGGCTTCACAAATTCTAGATCAAGAAAATTTTTAAAAAGATGCTGTAACTGTAAAACTTCTGTTACATGGGATGGTTAACACTCGAAAGTGGTAAATCATGTGACAGGATGGTACGGAGCAGTGGATCACTGGATCTTGCACCACTATCATACCCCATGGATAAAGCTTGAAAGCCCATGCTAGTTTCTTTTTCTAACAATTTGCAGTTACACACTCGAACAGCATTCATGACATACTAAAATGTTAAAAAGAACAACTGCAGATCATAGATAAGAATGCTGGAGAATAACTGCACATATATCGCAATTACAGCATCTAAGAGCTAGATATTACAATCAACTCATCATGGAAACCACCTAACACAATCATGCATTACTTAAATCAAAGAAATCAGGTGTCAAAGAGGAAATTTCAGATGCTGCTAAACTGTGGAGTTCAAATTTTTTTTTTTAAAAAAAAAGAGAAAACTATAATCATGCAAATAATGGTAACATTCACAGCAGCACACGCATCAACAAACACAAGCATTTGAGCATGCGTGTAGACACAAACACACACACACACACAGACATTACCCTGCAAAAGCTTTTAACTTTGTCCATGGATCATTCTGATCTGCTGGTTCTTCAGTTTTCTCTACATCCTTACCAACCTTACTTTCAGCAGTTTTGGCTGCACAAGTAAATATGTAAGCTTAACTCATGTAATCCAAACAATAAGCAACTAATACCTATGCTTACCACACAAGACAAGCAATACAACTTTCTTAGTCCCAGATTGGTGACAATGATATGTTAGTATAACATTGTCTTTGACTACTTCTATTCAAATTCTAAAAGTTTAGGCCACGACAGTGCATCTTGTGAATATGACATCATTACTTTAAATAACAAATATAAAACAAAGCCATTTGCACAAGGTGAGGCAATTTCTTACTGGCAGGCTGAGTTCTAGGGCGTGTTCGTGAACGGCTGCTGGTCGTATTACTCAGAGAGGCAAGTTCCTCAAGCAATTCCCGCTCCTTGGCACTGCAAATACAAGGAAGCATTACAGTGTGAAGTTAGCAGGAATAACTAATTTCAATATATTTAAGCATTAGAGGGAACAGATTTAACAAGGCCAGTGGTAGTCAATAACAGGCATTATACTACGCAACGGCAACTATTTAACCACACTCACTAAACACACACTGAAACACCATAAAATTACTTAATTTAATTGAATTTTCAGATATTTAATCATGAACAACTTTTATGTGACTCTTAACAAGATTCAAAATAAAGACCATGTGTAATTAAGAAAACAACCTTAGAATCACACCAACTGCACCTTTCCCAACTCCTATTGGGCCACTAAAAAGTCTATTGATCCTTTCAACTTTTATTACGTTAACTAAAAATATGAAAAGCAATTAACCAATATGAATTAGCTGACTTTTCATAAAGTGACCTAAACACACTGTTAATTTCAGCTAAGAAGGATAAAGATAAAAGAACCTACTGTTAACAAGTAAAAGAGACGTGTTTACTATTAACGAAAAAATGGAGGATCTATGAGAAATTGACCAACAGTTGAAGGCAACTTCATATGGCCTAGAAGGAACATACTACCAAAAATTAATTCAAAAAGCAGTTTAGCTATTCTATAACCATAAACTAAACACTGATAAAGATCATCTCATACCTTATTCTATTTGGTATGGTTACTTTAATTGTGAACAAATGGTCACCCCGTATAGATGGTTTGTTCAGCTTAGGTGCACCTTTCCTTGCAAGGACTAAGACTTCCCCTGGTTGAGTGCCAGGTGGGATCTGTAGGTCAGTTACCCCTTCCACCGTTTTTACCTGTTATAGTGAAAAGAAATCACTATGTGATAAAGCATGAGATGTTGGTGAGGATAAAATAGGAATAGAGTTGCCACCAACACTAAAATTTATGTGCTAGCAAACTAAATTTTAGCAGATATAGCCAAGCGAACCAGAAAATACTTTTTCTCAGGTGTGGAAGGCAGTGATGAGGCATTGAAAAAACAGTCGCCCATCTCCTCACTTTAAGTTATTCCAGGTTTGTGCAGCACAATTTATGATGAAACGTTGAGAAGATGATTTTGTATGGAAGATTGCATAATAAACTAATGAAAACTAAAACACTGAAAAAATCTTCAACCAAAACTTTAAAAGAAAAGAGCATTAGGCAAGTAAGCAAATGCAGGGTTTTACAGGTGCTACAATAATTGCACATAATATTAGGAACGCGAGCTTTTCCACTTAAAACTATTGCATTTCTTTAATTTATGACAATTGATATGAAAACTAAAACAATTAAGAATTTAATGCATGAATAAATGATAATAAAGACAAAATACAGTGAAAAACTACCTTTACAACAGACCCCAGTATGGCATCAAGATAACTAATGGCCACTGTTGAGGAGAGATTTATGCCATCCCTTTGGATTCCTGCTACCTCTTCAACATCTAGATATACATAAAGATCTCCTGGAGGGCCCCTGCAGAAACCAGAAAATAATGTTCAAGAACTAAATCTCCAAAGATCTAAGACTACAGTTTCTTTTGTCCTACTTCTGTCATCAACACATAATCCCGAAGGTGAAACTGGACACAAGAGGTTAATGTATAAAATCTGTAGCTTGCAAGCCCCCAAACGTAAATTTAATTTTTTATGTAGACAAATTTATCTAAAGCAATCAAGGAGAAGCAACCCTATGATACAAGAAATACACTTCCCTGGAAGTAGTAATGAGAAATAATCATTATATGCATAAATTTAATCATAAAAATTACAAAAGACAGCAGTTGAGTAGAAAAATAAACAAAATAAAGAGGAGGAAGTACATAGAAGAAACACTTCTGTGACAAGACTTCTATGAAACCAAAAAGACATCACCACCTATACATGCAGTACCATCATAGTACAGTCACAAGAAGTTATTCTAATTCCAGTATGATCAAGGAATTTATGAATAGCAATATCGTTATCATCACAATTTAAAGCAAATTACCATTCTTGACTTCAAAAGGTAAGACTGGAGAATACTGATAAGCAAAAACTTAAATCAAAGATTCGATATAATATGAATTGGCTGTCATACTGTAAAATACACATTTTTGCTAGTATTTCAACTTCCTATAAGCAAACACCAGTTCTCTATTTACCAATGTTACACTCGAAAACTTCAATACAAGTTTTAAATTACATGTGCCAAGAAACCAAGTTGCAACTTCTTTTATATCAGGTCCAGAGGTGATTATGGCTGACAGGAAATGGAGCTTATATTTATTTGGTAATATATTTCAAGGGCAAGATATACCTACTATAATTGAAAAAGAAAATGCAACTTCAGATTGCATTCAGCTGATAATACCAGAAGACTTCATTGAGATTAGAGATGCAATAAAAAAGTTCATCCACATACCCTCTTGGCCCAGCATCACCCTCCCCAGCAACTCTGAGGATGCTTCCTGAACTAACTCCAGGAGGAATTTTGACTTTGATATTTTTCTTAACTCGTATACGTCCTTTACCAGAGCATTTCCGACAGTATTCCGAAATGACTTCACCATCCCCACCACAATTTGGACAAACAGAAACCTACAAAATACAATGGAAAAGCTATATAGGCAACATCTTATAACAAAGTCTTCACACATAGGTTCTCAGAACAGAAAACAGTGAGAGAAAAGAGAACGATTCAATCATTATAGTACAAACATGATTGCTTCCTTATCTAGCAGCCATGCTACAAAATCCTACATTAATAATATCTTATAGCAATCATGAACCTTATTAATGTTCGATACCAAATTCAGCAATTTGACTTAATAGAAATGCTATAAATTAAATAGCTGTAATCTCTTACTGTATAAATTCATTAGTTTTCTATTAGAGACCTATTAGACAAAAATCCTCTAGAGATGAAAATAAAAAGTTTATTGGAACAATATCTCCCAAATTTATCTTGTAATTCTCACAGGCTTTACCACTGTAGTGTTGCAAGTTTAGATTGTACCTCTGGCTCTATGGTTATTCCAGCTGTTGTAAAGCAATAAACTTTTCTTCTGTAAAAACTGATCCTTGGAGTCAAACTCTCCCCTTTCAACTCTAATTTTTTTCCACAAAATGGTTTCAATTTGATAGAATATAATGTGACCAACCCAAGCACTGATGAACCTTACCTCAATTTCACCATTGGGTACAGCACGAGTAGCATGTGGATGGTAGGCCATTGTTACAATTAAATAGAATGACTAGTACAACCAAGGTCCTGGTGCTAAAGGTAATTGCACACTTAAAATTTAGACAAAAGGCCAAGTTCAGAAATGATCATTAAGAGCCCTACTTCCTCACAACACCCCCCTCACTCTCAGGCACCCCAAAAGGAAAAAAGGCAATCAAGAGTCCAAAGGAACTAAATGAAAAATATTTCTTATTACCTGTGAAAACAAGCCAAAGGGTGTCTGCTCGGTTCTCATAACTTGACCCCTTCCACCACAAGTTGAGCATATCCTCATCTTTGACCCGACCTTTGCTCCAGTACCAAGACAAGCTTCACATGTTTCTAAATGGGAAAGCCCAAATTCCTTTTCAGCTCCAAAAATAGCCTCCGAAAATTGTAAAGCAATGTCATAACTGAAAATATTGGAATTATCAGAACAATATTGACTATAAAAGCCCTTGAACAAGGACATATATAGCACAGAAACAGAAAAACATATAAATAGAAACATGCAGGAAATATTGACAAATAAATACACATTATTAGCAAGCGAGGCCTCAAATACTATAAATGATATATTTCTTTCATAATCAAACTCAAAGACACTATGAACTGCTTCTTAATAAGAGAAGTACAGTCACCTGGACTTAGCTCAAGAGGTAAGGAGGATGGAGTGGGATTTAGGTTTAAGTCATAGTAGTCTCTCTTGTATTAAAAAAAAAAAGGAGAGAGAACTCATTTAAGCATAAAAAGAGAACATACAAATAATTGGAAAATCAGAGTTTGGAAATAGACAATTTTCTAGCGAAAAAGGACGGCTACCCCAGTATGTGGCCAATATAGGACCTAAAAAATTAATAACAACAAATTAGACAACATATAACAAAGAAACTTTCACGCAGGCACAAGAGAAAAACACAATATAGCATAAACATGCACTGAAAATTTTTAGAAATTGTTATTAAATTTGTAATTTATAACCATCATTTGGTAAATGGAATTACTTGATGGGAACCTAAGAAAACATAGAACTTCGAAGGCATTATTTTCCACATTTTCCAGGAGAGTGACGAAAAGCAATTTAGTATTCTCAATGCATCAGATGACAATGCCAACTTGAGTTGCTAAAGAAAACAATTATACTAGGCATGGTACACCTCATTTGACTCAATACAAGACATTGAACAATTAGTCAATCATGCTCCAGTTAGCAGTAGGATATGAGGTGTTCAGATTGACCAAGTCCATTTCACATTAAGAGCTGGTTTCAATTAGTAAGTTTTGGAAATGAAATTGTTCACAAAATATAAAAGGTTTAATGAACTTAGAATCCTGCAACAACAAACACCCCCACCCCACTACAAGGAAAAAATAAGGAGAAAAGTGTGTAGTCACACAGAGGAAGAGAACATCATTCAGCAACATAAAAGCCTGCAGAAATAAGTAAGCTCAGAAAGCAGCCGATACTAGATAGCAGTACATGAGGTCAATCTCATTTTTGTAGTCAAAACAGACATAAAAGTGATCATGCCTAAGTTTAGTATGCATACTAAAGTAATCAGTCAATTAGCGCTTAGTATAACAAAAGTGAATGATCAAAGGACCACTAACTATCATTAAAACCTCAGAAACAGATCTCAACTTACCGTACATCATCACCTTTAGTAACTGTACTACGACGGCCTGTTCTGAATCCAGTTTGGTCCATGCCAGGAAAACCACCCATACTTGGTCCAAAGAATGTCTCAAAGAGATCAAAGGGATTAGTCTGCAGGAGAAGATAAACAATATGTAAGTTGTACTTAACCTACAGCTGTCTAGAGGTTCTACTGCTGCCTAGGTCAATCGCATGCTAGTTCATGGAGCATCCATCATGATTTCCCACATAACTAAAAGCAGCATAACTCTTTTAGAAGGACACATGGTTAACAAATTGGCAAGCGAAAGGGCAAAAGAGACTCAGATGGCCAAACCGACAAACCCCTCTAATAATCTTCCCACAAGGATTATAAATTCCATATTGAAAGTGACATTGTTCTTATGCTAACAGTCAGACAACCAAATATTTAGGAACTAATAATCAAACAGGTACCTTGCTTTCCAAATATGGTTCACACATCTTTCAGTGAAGTAATCAACAAGCACAGCATGTCTATTCTTCAAGCATATTTCAAATATTCATTGTCATTAGTGGTACAACAAAACTTAGTATAAAAATACACACTACATGCTTACCGTATAAGCACTGGACTGTCCCCCTACTGCACTTTTGACTCCAGCTTCACCATATTGATCATACAAAGCTCTCTTTTTATCATCTGATAACACCTGACAGTGTTGCACTTCATTGTTCAAAAAATAACATGATGAATGAAAATTTTGAGTATGGTAATGTACTTTCACACAAAGGAACCTCTAGGAAAGAACACTTGCAGTACACTATGCTCCAAAAACTGAAATGTGACTAACGAGGAAGAGAATAAAATATAAAACAATTATGTATGTCAACATGATAAATATCAAGAGCTCCATATGCAATCATAGGATAAACAACAGAAGTTGTATCTTAAGATTTCAAGGCATGCTGAATCAGTAATTAACAATGCATTGCATGATATATAGAAAGATACCAACATGCAAGAAGGCCAATTAATTAACTTGAAACCATAACAAACTCACCCTTTTGGAACTTCCTTTCTCAGTCCAAAGCAGGATGAATATTATATTATATGCGTTCTATGACCTCTTGACGATGAAGCGGTTAACTGTGTTTAGTTTGTTGGGTGCAAGAATATTTTGATACTTTTTCAACAACCTTAGCATCCAATTCCCCCTTTTCCCTGGAGTCTGAAATTGTTTAAGTCCAAGAGTACTTGATGGACATCCTAACAAGCCTAACTCTATATTGTACACACCCAAAACGTAAATAACAGGTCGATTATATACCACAATAAAAAATAAGAACCCTTATATTCACTGTCCTTTTAATTGCAATATTCAATTTCAATGCTCAACAACAATAATACATCTCTTTCTATCTTTTACACATGGATTCAAGAAAAAATTTGTATAAACAGATCAAATATCCAGTTCTTACAGTATCATAGACACATTCCGCATATATCTACGAATCTATTTCCCCCTTGCTAATCCTTGGTCCTACAATTAAATTGTTCTAAAATATGCAATCTGGTTCAAATATGTCAAAAAAAAGTTGTAGAAATGATGAATAACTGACATGGAAATTGCCAACTATGTTCACAAGCAAGAGAGAGAGAGAGAGAGAGAGAGAGTGAGGGAGACCCAAAACAAACATGCAAATGATTAGAGTAGAAATTTAACATTTTATTCCAATTCTTTTGTTTCAGGCATTCAGGTAAACAAACAAAGTATTCTTGGCATACTATTAATTGCCACAGAGAACTAAAGACAAACTGTAAGAGGAAAAAATTACGTAAAATATAGGTGATTGTTATAAGGCTATCCACAAACACAACCAATCGAGAAAACCACGTAAAACATAAAGCTAATAACATATTTCAACTAGCAGTACTCTGCACACCAGTAATCATGGAAATTTTTTGAAATAGTTGGTCAATAAACTTTTGTGCATACCTCATATGCAGCACTAATCTCCTTAAACTTTTCAGTAGCTCCTGGTTCCTTATTGACATCAGGATGATACTTCAAATTAAGATAAAAGTTATAATGTCAGAATTACCAAGACAAACAAAAACAAAAGTTGATAAATAAACAAATCATTAGCATACATAATCCACTACAAACTTATCAGCTTCAAATTTGTAACAAAGTGAATTTAAAATTAAAAGACAATGAACTTAAACAGGCTAGCATGAACTACAATCATATAACTGCCAATCTTACAACGATTCTGCCACTGATATTATGGTTGGCAATAGGTTATATTCAGTTGGGCTCGGAATATTTCCAAGAAAGACTGCAAATTATTTGGGCTGAATAGAACAGCTTTTTCCAATGCTGCCATAGAAGATTTCAGGGTTTTTCATTCCTTGATATCTAAATTAGGCTGGCTATCAACTACAATGGAAAAGATGGGCCAAATGAGGTCAGATATACATAAAATAACTCATTATAATTGTTACTCAATTCATGCCCTCCTCTAATACACAAAACTTACAAAAAATTTACGAAAGAAGTATCTCAAAAATAACCCAGGTTATGTTACAGTTTTATCATCCAAAGCATGAAGATTCTCTTAAGACCCTCAAAAGGTTTTTGCCAAGATGAGATGACTAATACAATGACAAAGGAACAAGCAAATGTCTAGCCACATTCTTTTTTCTTTGTCCATCTAGCAAAATCAAAATCAAGAATAACACCATCTTCTACTTAACATTTTCCCTTTTCCACAATTTGCATATCTTTCCACTAAATATTTCCTTCTCGTTTCCTCAGGAGATACTCCAACCACTCCAACAGTTAAAACTTCACACTTTCAACTATGAGCTCTCGGTTCCGAATCTCAGGTTTGGCTGCCAAAGAGGTACACCTCTTTTTATAGGCCAAGACCTAACGTGCTTTCATATGTACTAAAAAGCGGAAAAAAAGCAAGAGCATTTCCGTCTCTTATCTAAAACACCCATTTAAACTTCACTCTTCTTTTGCTTTCCTACCTCAGTTGTCTCAACCCAAAAAAACAAAAAGGAAAACCAAATTACAAAACAGAAAGGAAATGAAAAATAAAGAATTGAGTGAGGTACCTGACGAGCTAATCTACGATAAGCGGCCTTAATTTCTTTACTGGAAGCTGATTTTGGTATTCCAAGAGTAGCATAGTAATCCCCAGAAGCAGCGACCACCGTCCCAAAACGGTGAGCACCGACCCTGCCATTATTCAATCTCCAAGAACAAGTTGAAGAGGGAGACGAACTCACGCAAGCAAAGCTGTCGTGGGACCTGAGACGGGTCCCGCCATTGAAGAAAACAGAACAAGAAGAAGAAGAAGAAGATTGGGAAGCGTTTGAAGGGCGTTCCGTTGGGAAGCTGAGAGAAGAAGGGAGCAGAGATAGGGAAGTAGTGGCAGCCATTACAGAAGTGCGTCTGTCTCTGGCTCTCGGAGTTTTGGATAAAATGGGTCTAATAAGAGTAAATGCTGGGTTTGATCTCGTTCATGGTTGGTTCGAGCCGCGTTTCGAACAGACCGCCGCAGAGAAGAGAGACTGAAGGAAAGGAGGGCAGAGGAAAGCCGAAAGTGGCCAGAGCCAGGAAGATTGAATTTGTGGCTGTAACTTTGTTTTTGCACCAACACGTTTTGTCAATGCTACCCACCATTTTTCTTTCTTTCTTTTTTTTGTCCTTTTTCTTCAAAAAGCAAAAAAAATATACTTTAAACGTTAATTTCTCGAAAAAAAATTTTGCAAAAAGGGATCATTTAAAAGAAAATAAATTTCATATAAAAGTTAGTGCAATATTCATGAATTATAACTTAAATTAAATAAAATAGTTAGAATTATGAACTTATAGAGAAGATTAATGAATGTGTTACGATAAGAAGTATTGTTCAAGTTTTTAAGTTTTTTTAGATCAAAATAATTATAAGAGTCGTAGTAGATCATTCAATACACTGTAAAACTGAAACACCTTTATAAAAATTAATCCATAAAAATTACTAACATCATTTTGTTACAAAAGTATTACTCTCACACTGAAAACCCAACATGCTTTGATGATTTTGCAAACACAAATTTCTTAATTTAAAATAGGAATGAGATGATTAAATTATTACTAGAATAATTTATTTTTCCCACTTTATGTTCTTAGATTATATTTTGGTAATTTGGATAAACAGCCAGTTAATAATTGAATCAAATAACTTAGTACACAGTTAATTTCTTTTCCTACTTATAATAAATCCTATTCTTGGTACATTTTATGTGGTGAAATTCATGGTAAATTCACAAGTAAATATAGTAATCAAATTGATTTACTTTGAAATATAAATGTGAAATTTCTTTAACAATCAACAATTATGACTGTTTACTCCAAACACCACGTTAAGCCTATGGCCACATATCAGACACAAGACTAAATTACACAACAAACATACCATCTTACGGCAAACAGATTATAAAGCACTGACAGCTTAGCATATTGTGCTAGTTTCTATAGTCATAAATAAAGCTAAACACTTCATCCCTACATGCTCCATTCTTATTTTTAGAAGACATCTGGGTGGAAACGCCCTGGGATGGAGTTGCTTTGCTGTGCCTGTCTCAGATGCATCGTCAATGCGTAGTTATTTACCTGCAACACAAGCAAACCACACAAATGAGTTTGTTCGGTCGACAGAATAGTAACGTGTTTCAGCTTGTAAGTCTTTATTACGTAAACATTTATGCACTTTTTTTTTTTTTTGACTGTATGGCATAATCCGAAGAAATGTCTATATTCTGACCTCTAGAGTTCGCAACTGCTCCTGATACTGAGACACCAACTGCTTCAGATGTTGCAACTCATGGTTTTTATCTTGATACTCCTTTTGACGTTCATGTTGGATTGCCACAGCTCGTTTGAGGACCGTATTTTCTTGAATCAACACCTCAATCTGTTCCTTTAACATGATATTTTCCTGACAACAAAAGAATACAATCAAGTCAATAAGGTGATGTTTAACACAGCTTCAAAACAAAAAATGAAAGAAAAAGACGACATTATTATTATCCAATATTAAACCCATGTTCAATTTACATGGATATTTCAAAAACTATAAACCAACAATTTTAACATGATTATATTAAAAATTGCAACAGCTGAACTTAAAACCTTCTAACCCACATTTCCCCGTCCCTTTCGCCCTCCCTTTGAAGAAAAATAAAGGCTTAGTTCTATGATAACCACTGAAATGATCACAATGATCAAATATTCAACAGCATCGCATTTGCTCCACAGTCAATGTGACCAAATTTGGATCTGAAAGCAACCTGTCAGGAGCAAGTCTAATTTCTCAAGAACCGAGAAGACAATAACCATCTATTTCATGTCTTTCTCATTGACTATAGAGTCATCCACACCTGAATCTCAACTCTACTCGAAACCAAGAACATGTAATGAATCACAGTTCAGAGGACTGGCACCTTTACCACCACAAAGTTCTACCATTCAGTTCCTCCAAAAGAACCATGGACACTAGATCATAGACAAAACCTTTATCACCACCTAATATATGTCTTTCCAAATGACTCTAGAGTTATCCTCACATGAACTTCAACTCTACTTTAAACCAGGAACATGTAATGAAGCACAGTTCAGAGGATTGCCACCTTTATCACCACAAAGCTCTATCATTCCAGCTTCTCCAAAAGAACCATGCACGATAGATCATAGACAAATTTGTCACCAAAGGGGAAAGGACAAGAGGGGAGAAAAATGATGTTTTATTGGACAATGGTAATGAAACACATTCAAAATATACTTTTTGGCCATGCCTTTGGCTTATTGGTAAAAAGGCAGGATGACCCTAGCTTCAGGGACAGACACCTTTCATTGCAGATCATATTTAATCGTGCTAAGCTTAATCAAGTTCATGTGATCACCTAACAAACGCGAGTGTCCACCATATGACATTTTGCCTAAAAGTTTCTTCATAAGTCCTGCATGACTTTTGGCTAATCTAGAAAAGCATGACAATACGGATACATACCTTGTGAAAATTTTGTGCTGCCTCTTCAGCAGCAGATCTACTAATGGACTTCTCCAGAACCTCCAGCAGTTTAGAGGCACGGGCCTTGGCATCATCCACACTTGTAGCACTCATCATCTCCCTCACAAACAAGTCCACCCATTCTGCACCATCAACAGGCAGTTTTTCAGGGGCTGATGGATTCTGAACAGGCACAGTAGCAGTAGCTTCCCCATCATTGGTCAACGTACCTACAGTTTCAAATGCAGATGTAAGATCCCCTTCTTTAAGAAATGAGAATCACCTACCTTAAAGCAGATGGCATGTACACACAGCAAAACAATTAAACATAAAATAATTAATTTTGTGGTATCAGATTATATTCAGATTCAAGTTACATATATAACTGATGTACATAAAATATCATACTGAAATTGATCATAACCACAACATAATAGTGGAAGCATATAGTTAAGGGCTTGGACATCAAACATGTTGAGTCAAGATTCAAAAGAAGATCCCTCAATTCTTTCTCTCATTCAAAATTCAATTTTGTTGATTTGCATAAGTATCTAAAGAAGAAAAGGCAAAATAGTGGTAAATTGAGTTGAAGCTTTAAAGCGAATTCATTAATCTCATGGTGTAAAGACTCTAAGAAAGCCTTTATGCTTTATTCCCTTTTCAATCTGCTTTTAATTTTTCTTTTTTTAATAAATTGGGGAGAGGGGATTCGAACCTGCTCTTTAGGCAGGGGGATAATGCACCAACTAATGAGCCAAATGCTCGGGTGCAATTTGCTTGTAAATTTAACCATTAGGCATATGAAACATTCCAAAGTCTGTCAAGCAGATGCTAGAATTGAATCAAAGATAGCAATAGCATCACCTAATTGACTGGTTCACACTGAAAATCTACAAGTCAAATCGGTTTTGCAAAATCAACCATCAATCAAAAACATATTAAATGTTAAAAGGAATACATGATGGAAAAAAGATACAATTGAAGATAATACACATTGATCATAAACTAAGATGGCAATGTTAAATTAAAATAAATCACAATTGCAAAAAGTAGTGGCATACCCAGCTCTGCAGCTGCACCCAGTTCTTCAACAGGACCTGACCTTTCCCCTATAGCCTCTGCAGCTCCCAAGCAAAGTTCCTGCAGCCTCTTGACAGCAGTGTCTATATCATTGCCACATTCTAGCAGTGCTCTCTCCAGAAGCTGCAAGGAATATTTGTTAAATATCAATAGAAGAGACATATTCATCATTATTTTGACAGCCAACAGTAATCTCTTCATTGACCAATGGATTAGTAAAAGCAAACAGTTAAATGCTACGAAACAGAAAAGAAGCAAAGCAGCTAAACATTTTATCCACTAAACCAACTAATCTTATATACACAAATATTTTGTGCAGTCACACAACTGATTCAATAATCTTGGTGAAAGAATTATATCTTCAATCGTGGGGAATGACATCACTAAGCGATGCCAACAATAACAATAAGGCCCCGTTTGGCAAACCAGGTTGTCCCCAAAATTACATTGGACCTTAAGGGTCCGCAATCTGGCCTTAAGTGCTGCGGGAGAGCCTTCCCACCACATTGCACCGATATTCAAAACCAGTCCTAATTAAGGCCAGTACACTAAAATTCCAGAAGCATCAATAGAAGCAATGAAACCACAACCACTCCGCAAGGAATTGAATGAAGATTATCATAGAAGTACCCAACGGTATGGTCCCACTTAATTGGGACCTCACAGAAAAGAACTCGAACATAGTCATACCCTCAAAGATTTTTCCATTAGAAGCCACTTTCATGGCTTCAATCCACACAATTGCAATTGTTAACGGAAGACTTTTACCATAAAAATTAATTGGAAGATAAAATTTGCATTCTCCTCTTTTAAATAAATTTTACAATAAAGCATTAAAATTTTTCACTCAAAATAAAAATTAAAACTAATACAATTCTCTTTTGTTTGCAGGAAAAGCCAACGAACCAAAAGGATAAACAAAACAACCAATCCAAGTTTAATATTTAATCCATTTATCTCCATTTCCATCTCAGCGTCGAAACAGAATTATCAAAGCAAGGAATCAATAAACAATACTACCGTAGTCATAAATCTTTGAAACCTAATTTGCTAATACTATAAGAATTTACTATTCCTAAAAAATAAAATTTACAAATTTACATTCTGCATCTAATCATCGCAAGTATTTACAAAAATAAAATATAAAATATCTTTTTAAAAAAAAAAGCGATATACCTCGGGGTCCATTTGAGGGAAAAGAGCTTCGAGGTGAGCGAGGGAAGACGGCGGCGGAGAAAAACGAACAGACGAAGGAGATGAAGGCGAGCAGCGCCGGAGCTTCTTAGAGACAGAAGCCGATGGCGACGACGGGATATCCTCGAAGAACGATCTCTTACTCCCGCACACTGCCGCAGACATCCTTCGCTAAATCAAAGAAAATCTCTCTTTCTCTCTCTACCAATCTCTCTCCCTCCCTTCCTCTCTCTCTACTTCAAAAAAAGAAAAGAACAATTAGGGTTTTCTTGGGGAAGGCAACTTTCCTGTTTGGACGATGAGAAATTGGGGGATTCCTTACGAAGAGGATTTGCCTTTGGGCTTAGAATTTCTGATTAGTAGGGGTTTATATCTTGGTGGTGGTGGAGAAGAAAAGTAATGCATAAAGCGGTGCTGTTTTGTTTTTATTTTATTTTTTTATATTTCATTATTATGGTTTTTGAGTAAGGGGCCAGGCGACGGGCGCGTGGAGGAGATTCCGGGGTTCGCCGGGGTGGCGCGTTGGCTTGGGTTGGGAGATCTAATTTAAAAAAGTGGAATAAAACGGTAACTAATCTTAATAATAATCGAATATTAAGTTTGGATTTTTTTTCAGTTTTTTTCCTTTTAATAGGCTAAATTAATTCTTTTTCTTTGTTATTTCAATTTTGTCAAAGATTCAACTACTATTTTCTTTATTTTCAAAAACAAATAATAAATTTGACAAAAAAAATACCCATTATCTAAAATTATTTACACTATTAATGATGAGTTTTTAAAAATTTTTAATTTTATTAATATATATTTTAAAATTACTTATAATTAAATTATTTCTTAAAATACATAAATTATTGAATCAGAGAAGTTATTATAATTAACGAATGATTAATTGTTATTAGTTAAAACTTAATTTATCATTTTATATCCATGTAACACAAGTGTAAAGGGTGTTAAATGTCATGTGACAATTTCATTATAAAACATTAACATGCCAAATCACAATCCAATATGGTAAGTGAACATGTCGAATCAACACATACCAAATCATTACCCACATAACACAAAATGATAAATAACATTTTAACTAAAAAAAATTAATCAATTATTTAATTTAAAATAAAATATAAATATTCAATTGAATGTAATAAAAAAAAATTTAAAAATTTTTTAAAAAATTTTAAAAATATAGAATATATTTTTAAAAAATCGTGTATATTTTCCACTAAATAAATAAATTTGCTTATGTACCTTATGTATAATTGGGTTGATAAAATGATTCAAGCCCATGACCTTAGGCTTTATGTTGATGGGTTTGAATTTTATGGGGTGGCTTTAAGGAAAAGGGAAATGATCTGTTCAATTTTAAAATAGAAAAATATAAATATTCAATTGAATGCAATAAAAATTAAAAAAAAATATATTTTTGCAAGGTTCACTAAATAAATAAATTTGCTTATTTAACTTATATATAATTGGGTTGATAAAATCATTCAAGCCCATGAGCTTAGGCCTTATCTGGATGGGCTTCAATTTTATGGGGTGGCTTTGAGGAAAAGGGCAAAAGATCTGTTCAATTTCAGGGTGGACTTGGGCTGTACATCTTAAGCTGGGGCTCATCCAGTTAGATAAATTTTGGATAAATATTTTGTTTTGTATATTTCATAGGTTTTTTATAAAAAATAAATCAAGTGTTTATATATTAACAGTATGAAATATATGAGTTATTGTACTAAAAATCTTAAAAACTGGCCTCTCAATATGAACTGACAAGCATCTGGAAACAGCTGACATATTGATGTGGTAAATTGAATAAACAACAATCAGGTACTGACATGCCACAGCAATTCATTCAAAGCTATGAAGAATGTAAAAAAACTAAAAGACCCTAAACAACAAATACACCTGAACATGTTTCCTGGTAAAGAGGATTACAACAAAGGGTGGTTAAGAAAAAAAGAAAAAGCATAGAAAACTAATCACATTTTTGGAATGGGATTTGAATGGGGAACCATACTTTTGCTTTGAGAATGAGAAACCCCATATGTTCAAGTAGCAGAGAGGTAGACGTCGTCATGCCTGCATGTTTCAACTCCATTAACTGCAAAGAAGTGAAGCTCAATAGTCAGGCAAGCTGAAGACAGAGCTTACATAGCTCTAAATGTCAGTGGATGCAGTTCAAAAGGATAAAATGTGTACACGGAGTGGCAAATATGATGGCTTTAGCAATAAAAACACCATTTTTTGTACTTATTCATGATTCCGAGACTCCCTAATTGTATAGTAACAAGATTACTTTTTGTACAGAGACTCGACAACTGTAAGGTGTTAAAGAGTGTCTAAAGCTGAAAATAGAGCGAGCATGTATGAGATTATACAAGCATAACCAGCTCCAGAAGTTGTCGTTTCATTACTTGAAGCAATACACAAAGAGACAAATCTGCATTGGACCCTTCTTTTAGAGCTCCAGTGCCTCAGATGGCACCAAATATGTGACAAGGTTTTGACCTGCTCAACATTAGTTCTCACTGTCTTGGCTATAGAATGAAAGTTGGTCTCACCTATTTATCATGGTAACTGTGTCACACAGACAAATTTAACGACTTCAAGTGCACCAAGTCCACTTCCAATGAATCAAAACAATATTGTTCAAATTACGTCTTTTCTTTCTTTTTCTCATTGACAGGTAACTAAAGTCTACAGCAGTGCATGTTCCATCAACATTTTCCTTATTTTCCACTTAAACCTGAATCAATTGGTCGATTATAGAAAGAAAAGGATATTAACAATTGGATTTGTATCCAACTATGGGTGATTTCAATAAGTAATCAGTATCAGAGAACATCCCACCTTCTTTCAGCTAATCCTATTTCAAGACTAAATTCTAAGTAAGAATTTAGCCACCCAAACCTTATCTAGATATCATCCCATGCTTAATGCTTCTGTCACTTTACCTTGTCCTTTCAGAACTTATTAGTCATATAAGCCTAGTGCTGTCATCTATCGACATTCCAAACTAGAAACATCTCATTGAACTTTATTTTTAGTAGGGTACTCCAAAATCTTACAGATGCACAAGGACAAGCATTGTTTTCTTTTTATTTACCTTAACAACAATTAAACTCTCTCTCTCTCTCTCTCTCTCATCCCCTAAAGTTTGGTAGAGGCCTAGGAAAAATACATAGCACAAACTAATAATTAGCCTTTTCATTGTGTAGTACCTTCCAAGGAAGCTTTTTAAATGAAAGAAACCAACAAAGTATCACAAAATACTTGAAAAGCCAGAAACCGTAACCATACAAGTGTGACATGAGAAAGAAAAGAATGGCCAAGTTGCATGGATATGCTAGGATTTCACTTCCTGATGGGACAGCAATATCTTGAGATACACAGTGCATTATTTCTTGCAGAAAAGATAATAAAGCATTATCTCTACTCTTTAAAGAAAGTATATAGAACTAGAAATTGTAAAATCTCAATCAAGTACAAAACAGTTCAAGTTGTGGGGATCCTAAATCATTCAATCTCTTCTAGAAATATCAAGAAGGGATAAATTACAAAAAATCCTCTCGCAAGCATATTGATATTGCTCTCTTACCATTTCTTCAATAAAGCTTTCCCATTGGCATGATTAAGTAGAAATCAAAATGTAGATGAAACAGTTAAGCGGAAAGAAGCCAGAAAAAAAAAAATTAGCCAGCTATTGAGGAATGTGCAGTTTCAAAATAAAAAGGGATAAGGATAATGCCGATGTCTTCACCCAATCACTCCTACACAGGAAGGGAAGTGAGATTTGTAAATTATCCTAGTATGAATGGACTTTATTTTATTTGGATGAAACATTCAACTTCTTTTCTGACCCACAATTTGAAAGGACAAGAAAGCAAGAAAGTGGAACTCATTTAATAGTACATAACTTCAATTAACATAGAGATAAAAAATGAAATGATACCAGAAGGTGCAGAACAATTTGTCTGCTGGCGTGGCTCCACAAGAATATACAAGGGCTTTCCATTTAGTCTATGCTGTCCCTGCAAAACATCCAAATGTTAAATTTTAATTTTAATGGAAAAAATTGTAACATCTGCTTCAGTGAGCTAAACAAGCAGCAAAAGCGTAGGAGCAGACAAGATTAGAGCTATTAAAATTTGAAACAGAGATAAACTCAAACAGCAGCAGGTGATGTCAGTATGATAACATTATTAGAAGGAATTTTTATGGTAAAGAAAAGTAAAAAATCTTAAATTTGCACAAATGGTTTATATCAAGACAAGAAGTCAGTACTTAATCATCCATCAATGGACACCATCAAAGCAACTTTATCATTTTATAATCAAAGGGGTAATACAGTCCAAAGAAGTAGAGCACTGAGTCGATTATTTTCTGAAACAAAATTCATAGCAGGGTAATAGTAGTAGAGCCATGGCTGTAGTAGAAAAAGAAGAAACCTATGTTCTGAACCAGTTTATATATTACATTTTCAGGAATAATGCAACATGTAAAGAAGTCTATCACACATTACCTTAACCTCACGCAGCCCAACAACACATGCACATTCAACCACTTCAGCCCCAACACGTTCTAGTAAAAGAGTAGCCCAAACAGAATTTCAGTCATAGAACTTTCAAAATGTATGCCAAATTAGGGGAAAAAAAGGGGAAGTACATGCATGAACTCCAGACATTACCTAATAGGCGTATTGCAGCAGAAAGAGTCCCACCTGTAGCGACCAAATCATCAATAACCAAGGCACGTTCCCCAGGTTGAACAGCTCCAACGTGCATTTCCAGACAGTCAGTGCCATATTCGAGCACATATGCTTCGGAGATCACTTCTCCTGGTGTTAATATAGTGAAGGGCTTAAATTACAATTCAAGTACCAAATATTTATGAAAAGAATGGTTTGATAAGACTATTTCCACAATTCTGGCTATCCTGGTTTCAACGCAAGTTCGAACAAGAACAAACAATTGAAATGGTATTGAGAATTGAGATTTAGAATAGATAGATCTTTACTTAATTAACAATCTATGGCTGAAAATAACTTTCGAACTGAAAATAAGGTATTTTTTCACAATCAATGTCTTTACAGACAATGATGTTCTCACAATCTTTAATTACATGGTTACATATACCCATTGCACCATTGGCTATCACACTCCTTGACATTTCAAATTAGGAAGAGTTTGGAATTGGCAGTTTGGAAGTTTCTGCTGGCATTGGCATTTTCCTAACACAAATTTTCCTATCCTTTTCCCCTTTCCCTTGGCAGGGTTCCAAAGTCCTCTTTACTACTTTTACTACCTGGTAATTAAGTATTCTCCTTTCAGTGATTATAGCTTCCATCTAAGTGGCATAAGAAACTGGCGTTAATATGAAAGAATATAGTACAAGGGACACCCTCTCCCCATGCTTCCAGCTCTGCTTGTTTGACTTCATAGGGTCCACCATGGGTCAGATTCTGTAGTTCAGGCTGAAATTGTAGGTAATTTGCTTCTTAAGATGTTTTCCATCCTACCATGCTTCTTATAATTGCCTTATAGTGGTAAAATAGACTAAAAGTTATTTCTGTTCCCCAGCCCCAATATTTCAGTGGGAAAGCATAAATCCTAGCTAATGCAGCCAGAAATATGATATTGACTCTTTTCAAGAAAACAACATATCAAAGATATCCTTCTTTTCATCCTAAATTATGTTAAAACACATAGCTTTTTCACTTTAAGTCAAAATCCAAAGAAGTGGGTCTCATTAATCAATCCAGGTGAAAAGCTATATATCAAATTCATCAAGACTATATGATTTGATGTTTGGCTTATACTAGTAGTCACGTACAAAAGCATACCTGGCAACTTTCTAGGTTTACGTAAAGGAACAAACTTGGCACCAATAGCCAATGCAACTGAGGGGCCAAACATAAATCCTCTAGCCTCAACACCTAGAATGTAAATTGACCATGTGAGCAACTATCAAAGGTAAGCAATTATAGAACCAACTTCAATAGTTAGAATAGTTTAGCATCTAAAGTAACTCAAAAAACAACAAAAACAATTACGGTTATAGTACAGTATAAAAGATAGGTTGAATTCAAAGGAAAAGGAACTGAGATAAATAAGTCATTTTTTATGAGTTAGATGAACCGACTAGCTGATCAAATGAGACATTGGAGCTTGAGTTAGCCCAGGCGTCCCAGAGTTCCCTTTCTACTGCTAATAATTCCATGCCACAATCATGACTGGTTTGGCCTTCAAATGCCACTGAGACAAAGACTTAACCCTCACATCTTTGGAAAATGTCATCATAGGCTAAATGTTTGTGACCAAGAAGAGTATTCCCAATTGAACCTTGAAACTCTATACTTGAATAAAGTGACTGATTAAAATCGATTTTACCATGTAAGAGTGAAAGAAATTAGAGCTTTCCATGCATGGAATATAGTTATAATTGCTTGCAGATATAAAAGAATTTGTAGCTACAAATGACCACAGTTGTCTTATCATATTTTATTTAACCATACTAAAGCACTGACCTAACTGACCTAATTATCTCAGACGGATTTAGAAAATCAATTCCACTCAAGCAAATATCATATGGATTCCATGCCTGAATATAATATCCAGAGCTTAATAACCAGTTATAAACCAGAATTTATCATGGCTACCATGACTTCAGGAGACACAAATTTCAGTTGATCTAAAATAAAATGAAGAAAAAGAAAGCCCCTTTTCTGAGATTGACAAAACTTAAGAAGGAAAACATTTCTTCTTCAAAAGAAGTCACTGCTTTAAAACATGGTAAAACAAGCCTGCCTGTGCAAAAAAAAAAAATTAGGAAAGTTAAAATGAAGCAAGCAATGAGCCTGACTGAAACCACATTAGCTCATAGAATAAAATAAAAAAATCAATCCTACCCACTTATACAAACTTAAATATATAAGAAGGAAAGAAAAAATCTCATCATAACAACTTATATACATTTCAACTTTTGCATGATAAAAAATGAATACAAAACCCCCAACTTGACTTAAACTTTTTCTACAATGAATCCAGACCTGTATAATGGGCAGACCAAGAGCACTCAAAATTATACTACATATAATAACAAAAGGAAAACAAAATGGGAAGTGTGGTTGCATGTGTGAGAAGGAAAGACAAAGAAAAAGAAAGAAAGAAAAGAGAGGGTATACCAGCAACAACAGAGATAGCCATATCTCTATAACGATCAACAAAGATATCCACGGTATCTTTGAAACACTTGTGATCAAGTAACAGTGTTGTTATGTCCTGGAACATAATCCCTTAACATAAAACAAAAAAACCCAAGTTACAAAAACCAAGAAAAAGTTGAACATTTTACTACAAATAGACCTGCTTCAGAATTTTGCTTACAAGAAACCAAAAGAGAGGGAGAAAGAGAGAGAAGAGCCTCTGTTTTTTTTTTTTTTGTGGAGGAAAAACCTGGTTTTGGGAAGTGAGGAACAACTCTAATGGCTTCAGAAATGGCCTTCAACCTTGGGTCTCCTTGTAAACCATTCTGATCTCCTGCAAACATTTTCTCCATTTCTGTTCCTCTGTAAGAAGCTTCTGTTTAAGTGTGCCAAGTGGGTTAGCAAGAGCTCTTTTGTTTTTTCCCTCCCAAAGATAAACCCAGTGCTCTTTTTAACTTCAGCTGGCTTATGACAGCAGAAGAAAGAGAGAGAGAGAAAGGGTTATTAATAATGTGTATCTTTGTTGGCAAAAGCACCCCTGAAGAAGATCCAACTGCTCAGTGCTCATTATTTATAGGCTCCTTTTTCACATACTATTTCTTTTTTTGCCCTTTTCTTTTCCATTTTCTAGAGGATAGTGCTGCTGTCACTCTCAAAATTGTTATGTTTCCATTCCTTTTGATTGTGAAATCTTTGTTGCTTTTAACATTAATATATTTAGCAGCATTGCTGCTGTCACTAGAGCAGTGTTTATGGGCTTGTCTATTTGTCCACACTAATGAGTTTGGTCTGATTTAGATCGAATTTAGATATGACTTTTAAGATATTATTATATTAATAAATAGTTTTTTTAATTAAAAAAAATTTAAAATTTATTCTTTAGATTAAAAAATTATACATTAATTAATAAATTAAATATTAAAAATAAATATATATTTTATTTTATTTAAATAATTTTAATATTTTAATAATAAATATAATATAAATAGATAGTTCAAGGGGGGCTGAACTCGAGCTCAAGTCTAAATTTCTCAATATATTGGACAAACTTAACTCAATTTGACTTATAAATACTTTTATTTTTAATTGACACACTTTTCTAAAAGTTATTATACTTTTAATATACAACAAAACTTGAAACTTTCTAATTTAAATTAGTGAAGATAGTCGAAAAGAAATATGAATTTGTGTTTATATAGATATTAATTTTAAAATAATTTACAAGAAACAATCTTATTCATAAGTCAATTTCAAAAATAACTTTTAGTATAAAGTTAATTGTTTTTAATCAATTTTAATCATGAGATGATAAAGACACTCTTAAAATCATTTCAAATAAATTTAGTACTCTTAAATTTCCTCACCTGCCACTGGTTTACTTTGCTTCCCATTATGCTATGCTCTCCATCTTTCTCTTTCGTCATCCAACTTCTTCTAATTTTACCACCATCATTATCTCTTTATCTATCTTTTATAATCTCGTCGTCGATCTACATTTCAAAAAGTATGACATCAAAGGTAATAACATATTCTTAAGTTTATTAGTTTACATTCACAAAATCCTCTCTTTGTCTATCTCTTGCCCGCTCATCATCGATCTACAAACTAAAAAGTATGACATAGTGAGTAACAACAGATTTTTGGATTTATGCGTGTTAAGTTTCAGTGATTCAAGTTTGGTAGAACATGCTTTAACTTGTAACAAAGTGATTCATACCTTGGCACGCAACATGAGTAGAAATAAGGAAGTTTTTGCATGTAATATATGGTGTTGAAGCTTTAACTTTGACATATAACATTCAGTGTTAAAGTTTTGACCTTAACGTGTAACATTTGGTGGTAAAGTGTTGACCTTGGCATGTAATATTCAGCAATGAAGCTTTAACCTTAGCATATAACATCTAGCGGTGAAGATTTAACTTTGGCATGTAACATCGAATGGTGAAGCTTTAATCTTGGCATGTAACATTTGGTGCTGAAACTTTGATCTTGGTGTGCAACATCTGGTGTTAAAGCTTTAACCTTGGCATGTAACATTTAGAGGTGAAGCTTTGACCTTGACATGTAACATTTGGTGTTGAAGTTTTGACCTTGGCATGTAGCATCTAGTGCTAAAGTTTTGGAGTTGCTTAATTTTTTTGAACATAACGTGTAATAATAACATTTTTTAAACATGTAATGTTACACCCCTAATTTTTTATATAAATTAAGTAAACTAAAGATGATTTATGAAACATATGAAGTCTTGAGGACTTTGATGATATGTTATGTATGTCAAATGTTTAAAAGTACATATATTGACACTTAGACAAAAATTTAAAGAAATATATGATAAATCTCATAGTTTGAGATTTTGATCTAAGTTGGACCTTATTATTATGAATATATGTGAATGAGATTAAGTTAAATGAATGATTTGAGCTATGATATTAATAGGAAATGAAATTAGGGTGTTAGACTTGAATTTTTGGAAGTTTGGAAGGTTGAAAATTGGTTACAGGAGAAAATGTATTAATACATCTCAAAATGTATCAATACATTTTTCATGGGATGAACAATTAAGAATGTATTGATAGATTTGGCTAAATATGAACATGTATCAATGCATTATCCAAATGTAGCGATACATATAAAGTAGAAAGCACCCTAAGAAAAAGGTATCGATAAATTCCCCTCATTTATCGATACGTGTTGGGGCAATGAGCATTCTGCCTTAAATGTATCGATATATTTACTGGAAATAAGAGCAAATGCATCGCTGAAAAAAGACAAAAATAAAAAAGGGTTCACGGAAACTTTGCCCATATAACAAAAACTGTAACTTTTTCTCTCTTTAACCTCTTAACTTCCTTTACCCCAAACGGATTTTTAAGCAATCTATAGCTAATCCGAGCTTGAGAAAACATTATAAAGATAAGATTAAACATTTTTGTATTTCATTATAATATAAACTTTTTAAAGTTAAAGCTCTTAGAGTTAAAGCATATAATAATTTTTTTTCAATTGTAATAACAACACTTTTTAAATAAAATTTGGTCTTTATCTTTGTATTTAAATAGGATATAAACTCTTATAGTTAAACACCTTCACGATAAAGATAAAATTTAAAATACAAAAAGAATTTGACATGAAAAAGAAAATGTATTGAAAAATTATTTAACGTCAATATTACTGCTAGGGTGAAATGGATGGGATGAGATAGATTTGGAAAAAAAATATTATCTAAAATCTCAAATTTGGATAATTAGCTTTTAGGTTATTTTATTTGTTACATTTCCTATAAATTATAAAAAAGATTCAACATCATATGTTACATATCAATGTTAAAGCTTCAACACCATATATTATATGCCAAAATCAAGGGTTCAACACCATATATTACACATCAAAGCTTATTTCTCCATATTGATTCTACATGTCAAGGCATGTATCACTTTGTTACATGCTAAGGCATGTTCGACCCGAATCACTAAAAAAACTTAACACTCATAAACCCAAGAATCGTTGTTACTCACCATATTATGTTTTTAGTCTGTAGATCGACAATGAGATGGTGAGAGATAGATAGAGAAAGGGTTTTGTGAATATAAACTAATAAACCCAAGAATATATTGTTACCTTTCATGTTATGCTCTTTAATCATATAATGAGATGACAAGAGATAGACAGAGAAATAGTGATGGTGGTAAAATTAGAAAAAGTTGGATTACGAGAAAGAAAAATGAAGAGCATAGTTGAATGGGAAGCAAAGCAGATGAATGGCGGGAGAGAAAATTTGAGAGCACTTGAATATGAAGATATTTATTAAGGGTAATTTTGTCTAAAAATCTTTTCTATTAACTAAAAATAGTTAAAATTAAAAAAATTATTTTGAAAATACTCTATCTTTGAAGTCTAAAAAAAATCATCCCTTAATTTTATTATAACCAATTGCTTCTATTAAATGTAGTTATTTAAACAAAATAAATAATATTAATTACATTAATTTTATTTTAAATTTTGAAAATTAGAAAAAACTAATATTAAATATGTTCACCAAATAAGTCCAAGTGCCATATTTGATATTAAATACTTCTTCGCCCTATAGGATAATCGTAACATGTTTAATTCACTTCGATCATTCCACTTCACTTGCTTGATAATTAAAGATTTGAAGAAACTTTACATACACCTTTAATAATTTTAATTAGGTATAATATTTTTAAAAGTTTTTAAATTATTTAGAAAAATTTAAATATAATCAAGTCACTAAACTAACGAAAACATTGATGGTTGGCTAATGGATTGATATGAAATTATGATTAAAATTGTTCTAAATTGTCCATTGCGTACACTCCATCAATGAATGGTAAAATTATCTTTAAAATATTACTATATCATAAAACTAATAAAAACATTGATGGTTGATCAACGATAGGACTTACATATTTAGTAAAATATATTCTTTTGGGACGGACTATTCATTTCAAATACTAATAGACTCATATGAAATTATGGCCAAAATTAAGGAGAGTCAAGGTATTATATTCTATTTTTTATTGTATTCAATCAAGTTTTTATATTTTTATTTTGAGATAAGTAAGTTATTATATGACTAATAATTTTGACTAACTACTAACTATTGTTAGTCAAAATACTATTTATCATTATATGTCACATAATACTAATGTGGTATTTTGATATGTCATAATTAATGATGATATGATATAATAATATAGATATGTGACATTTTTTACTTTTCACATTAATGTCACATTAATGTCATGTTAGTATCACATGGATATAAAATAACAAGTGATATTTTGAATAATGATAATTAGTTAATCATTAGTTATAAGAACTTATTTAATCAAAAATAAAAACGTAAAAGTTTGATTGAACATAATAAAATAATAAAAAATTATTTAAATTTTCTTAAATAATTTAAATTTTTTTTCAAACATTATGCCTTTTAATTTTTTTCACATGCATCTTATAATTTTTTTTCAATTAATGTCACTGTATAAATTGGAATGCAAAGTAATACAACAGTAAAAAAAATCAATCATTGTACCAAACATATTTTTAATCAAATTAAATTTCATCATGGTCGTGACAAAATAATATTTTTTTGAATTTGGATTTTCATTGGGATATGTGATTTATGTCAAACTTAGCTTAAAATGCTATGTAAGAGTATAATAATTTAAATATCATATGTTAACATATCATAATTTTTTATAATATAACATACAGACATAATCACGTGATGGATTTTATAATTCATATCAACATCACGTCATCGTCACATGTAACATACAAAACTCAAATTATTGATACAAATACAATTGGAGAGATGTAAACATGACAAGTTAAACAATCATTTAATTTCAAGGAGAAAAAGAAAAATAAGCTTCAATTGATGAATTTCGATCAAAGAAAAAGTCATGATCCTAAGCAAGCGAACGGTTAAGATGATAAGAACATTATCTTTCCCTAGGTATTGCAATAGATAATAATCATACAATGGAAGATCTCAAGAATCTTAAAATTG